CCAAATAACTTCCGCGGCACATTAACAATTCCTTTGATCAGCACTGGCTTTTTACAATCCAACCTTCAGAGGCTCGGAGTATAAATTATGCATCAGTCACTCCAAAAATTTCCCCTTGGTAGATTTGTAATAAACTGCCCGTGCTGTTTGCACAAGCTGTGGAAATGGTAAAAATCCTTTTCAGACTGTCAAAATCTCTGGGTTTTTCAGGGTGCTTTTGGTTGTGGTTTTTTTTTTTTTTTCCTCTTTCCTTTTTCCTCTTTTGCTGCTAGGGCAAGCAAATATGAAAGGAGATGGATTTATGTTTTGTAGAGACATGAACAACAGAGCTGTGTGGCTTTCAGACTCCAGTGCCTCCTAGAAACATCCAGAGACCATGAACTAAACAGAGATTAAAAATTTAACAAAGTAAATTCAAAATGTTGCTGCAGGGTGATTCACCACTCCTTTTTCCTCTGTTGTCCACTGTCTCTTTATCAGGCAGTTCCACATTAATGCCTTGATGAATCAGGTTATTCCAGTTATTTTTGTTCCAATAAAAACCTGCATTCTGCAAACAAGATTTCAGGAACCTGCACATTTGAGCCTCTTTGTTTAAAGAGAAAAAGCAGAAAGGACTCGTCACATGTGGCAATGGAATCAACTCTATAGGCATATGACAGCAACTTCAGGGGATGATGGATTATTCCAGACCCTGGCACACAAACCACCCAGCAAACTTGCCTGGTTTACAGTTCTAAGATGACATACCTAATCACCAGCCCTTCAGCTTCTTCTAAGCCAGTTACGCTCCTGCACTGCTGTGAATTGCTATCTGTATCAGAAGCCCCCCCAGGCCAAATTATACTTTAAAAAGTATGTACAAGCCTGTTATCAGCAGGGATTTCAGCAAACCTGGGACAATTTCCTGGCACAGCCAGGTTTGGTGAGCACTTCCCTACGTACACAAGGACGCGTACCCCATTCCAACCTCATGAAGTTCAACAAGGCCAAGTGCAAGGCCCTGCCTCTGGGTCAGGGCAATTTCAAACACAGATACAGGCTGGGCAGAGAATGGCTTGAGAGCAACCCTGGGGAGATGGATTTGGGAGTGCTGGTTGATGAAAGATTCAACATGAGCCAGCAGTGCGTGCTTGCAGCCCAGAAGGCCAACCGTATCCTGGGTTGTATCAAGATGAGTGTGACCAGCAGGTTCAGGGAGGTGATTCTGCTCTGCTACTCTGCTCTCATGAGACCCTGCATCCAGTTCTGGGTCACCCAACACACAAAGGACATGGAGTTGTCAGAGCAGGTCCAGAAAAGGTCCACAATGATGATCAGAAGGCTGAAGCACCTCCTCTTTTAGGACAGGCTAAGAGAACTGGGGCTCTTCAGCCTGGAGAAGAGATGGTCTGAGGAGACCTTGCAGCCTTTCAGTACCAAAAGGGGCCCACAGGACAGTTGGGGAGGAACTTTTTAGAAGGGCATTAAGTGACAGGACAAGGAGAAATTATGTTAAGCTGGAAGATGGTAGATTTAGACTAGATCTTAGGAAGAAATTCTTCACTGTGAGGGTGGTGAAAACACTGGAACAGGTTGTCCAGCAAGGCTGTGGATGCCCCTCCATTGAAGCATTCAAGACCAAGCTGGATGGGGCTTTGAGCAACCTGGTGTAGAGGGAGGTGTCCCTGCCTATAGCTAGGGGTTGGAACCAGATGATCTTAAAAGTCCCTTCCAATCCAAATCATTCTGTGATTCTGTATGGTCCTTGTGATGCAAAGATGTGAGCTATGGAGGGCTCATGGACCACAAGGTACACATGAGTAACCAGGCTTTGTTTTCTGAACCAAGCAGAAATTCTCCCAAACATCCTCTGTTGAAATGCCTCTGTATCTTCTGAAAGACTTCCTGCAAGTCAAAATGGCTCCTAGTTACTCAACTCACTCACTAGAGCTTGTCCAATTTTCTTACCTCCTTCTCCACTGAATGAAAAAAAAGTGGAACATAGAAACGTAAGTAGGACTTCTCTACACAGATGCTAGGAATATGCATACCCGTATGCTAAAGGATACTGCAAAGTGTTTTTTTCTTAAAAGTTCTCCCTTCTAGTGCTGGTGACAGTGTGCACAGTCAGTGTCCCTCCACCTCAGGACTTGGTGAAAGGCACAGTGAGGCCTCCAGGTCAGCCACAATCAAAAGCACTTGGAGACAACTTGGGGCAGTTTCAGACCAATGCATCAACTCATATACAGACTTTGCGTTCACACATTAAACTTTATGACTTCAAAATTGTATTACATTTTATAGTATGTGTGTTTTTGTGTTCTCATAGCCATGTGTCCCTTTGCAGAAATTCTCTCACTCATGCTGTGTCTACTGTTTTATCTATCTCCTCCTTTACAAGGAAGAACAGTGCAAGATCTAAGAACAACTGCCTATAATCAAGGAGCCTTACTATTTAACTCAAAAAACTTCTTCAAAGACCTTGACTGGCTGTCATTGTCAGTGTAGAATAGCCACAGTAATATGTTTTCATGGAAGAAAGGTGAGAATGTGGAAGAGGAGAGAGAGAGAGAAGGGAATTCAGCCATTCAGTGATTTCCTGGCCTCTTCTTTTCTCCAGATACATGAAAGCATTTCACAAAGAAAGAAAGAAAATACACTCCAGCAATCATTCTGCTACTTATTACTGTTTTGGAGATTTCCAAATTCTTGTTAGAGACTAGTAAACCACTTGAAACACTTGCAGGGGTAAATGGATGGAGGTGAGGCTGGTGGTTCTAGCTGCTAAAGGACTCCAGGTAGTACAATCATATTCAGACTTTATCCAGAAGCATAAAACACCAAGCAGTTGTTAAAACATAAAGGGGGATTCAATCAATTTAATAAAGCCAGTGTGGTCTTTCCAAGGAGATAACTGAGGACAGATATCTGTCATATCGCAAAGCAATTATGAATATAGCATAATTGATTTGTATCAGGTACCAATCAGGTCAGTTACAATCTGTGATTCTTGGTTTATTCCAGGAGTTTCTGATTTAGTAACTTAGAAGCACATTTTCAAACATACAGACCATATGTATATCTTTCAAACAGACAACCCATCTCAACTTATGGTTGAGGTGTTTCTAGTATCCCTCTGTGATCAGATGGAGAGGGCACAGCCAGTGCACCCAGGCAGAGGTTGCTGAAGAGAAAGAGCAAAGAAGCCCACCAAATATGTGGAGACAGAGGATACAGGAAGAAGGGTTCTTAGCTGCAAAATTCTCTCAATAATGTTTGTATACAACCATCATGTTTTGCACTTGCTTTTCAAATGGAAATTCTTCTGCTCTTAAACACGAAAACACAGCATCAAACGTGAAGAAAAGGCTTCAGGACTTTAATTAGTAGTGCAATTCAGAGACTTAAGTTCTGTGCTGCACCTACCTATAGGTCTTTTGATCAAAATTGGTCATGTAGCATGACTGTAAACTCTTCAGGATAGAAATGGTTTTGAGCCATCAGCCAAGTTCAGTGGAATACCTGGTTTTGCTGAGGGAAGAGCTTAACAAAAACTAAGCTGGCCTTGGTGAAGAGCCTTAACCTATTCTAAAATGTCATGTGTTTGCTTTATTTTAGTGTTTACATATTCCGAAAATGGCACAGAACACTTTGGAGAAGAACCAAAAAGTATACATTCCCCGGTACGGCTAAAAACTTTCTGAGAACACAGTGTGGATGAGAAGACATGTATAATATAAACTGGGGAGGACTTTTAGCTGTTAAATTGCGGTGGGACTGTAGGGGGCACTACCTAGAGCAAACATCAATATCTGCCTGTCACGTAATTGTTCCATTTATGGGCCCCTGGCCCTGGTTGGAAGCAGTATACAGGACTGGATGGCTTTTTGGTTGACCAAAAATGGACCTTTTTAATATTCCTGTGTTTATTATGATTTCATGTTATAAACACAAAATATCCAGTGTGGAGGCTGTGCCAATCTAACAGAACAGCAGTAATATAAAAATCACAGACCTGACATAATTTGGAAGATTACCTGGCATTTGGTTTCAGTGCTTTTTTTTTTTTTCCCCTGCAGATTTCCAGCAGAGAGGCAAAAGAGTAGCCAGCCTTCTCTGCAGGAAGCCCAGTGCAAATAACTTTCTATCTAAGAAAGTGATTTTCCCTCTCTATTCATTGGACTTGTCCACTGTACAGGTTGAACTCATCCATAATGAGACCTTTATAATAGACACATTATATAATGCTGCCCAGTATACTGCTGGGCTTGCAACATTCATATGTTAAGGAGTAAAAAGCAAACTCACATTTTCGGTCTCACCCAAGAGACCAAGTTAATATTTCTGCCAGAAAATTGATTTGGGGGGTTCAACAACTCTTATTTCTCCACGAAGACATTTACAGTTCTCCAAGACTGTGAGATTCTGGCTCATCTCTTGGAATTACAGAACTTGATTCCTCACTGTAACAGTGTGAGCAAAATCCCTGGGTTTTCCATTATCAATAAGCTCCAGATATGGGGCCATATGTTACACTTAAATATTTGACAAACAGATGCTTACATTTTCTCATTATTATTTTTTCTTCAAGGGACCATTTTATAAAAGCACGTTACAAATGAACACCTATGTTGCCTTGTACAAATTTGTACCACAAGAAAATGAAGACTTGGAGATGAGGTAAAACCCCAAAATATTTATTATTTGATTTAATGCATGCAAATTAAGGCTTATATTGCTATATATGACTTGAGAGAGAAGGAAAGGAGATTTATTCTGACTTTTTCCTGGACATTTTTAAATATAAGTACTTGCAGATACAAATTTATTGGCATAGGAACAAATCCAGTGACCACTTCTTTTTTGGCAAAGGCACAACAGATAAAATGCTTAAAAGGCACTTATGTCACTTCAGGAGCATATAATCAATGACTATACAGATATTATAATTAAGAAATATACAAGAAAGTTAGGCTAAACAGGTTATCACACCAAAGAAGAAGAAACAGAAAGCTTACCTTTGTCCTGGGCTTGCTGAGAAGACTCCAAAAGAAGCAGTCTCCAAAAGAAGCAGTCTCCAAAAGAAGCAGTCTCCAAAAGAAGCAGTCTCCAAAAGAAACCCTTCCCACGTGGGAGTCAGCTCTTAAATGGGTTTAGGAGAGGTGCAGCCAGGCTCCACCCCTTCCATCAGCACAGCTGTGCGATAGCACAGCCTTCACCTGTGCTCTGAGGGCTGACTCATTGCTTGCCTCAGGTGGTCAATCAGAGGTTCAGGCCTTGATTCAGCAGTTCCTATACAAGGACTAAGGGGGCTTTCCACTAGAAAATATGCAGTTTTCAGTTGCTTTGTCATTTTCAAACATAAATTTTCAACTAGGAATTCCTCGCCAGCTGTCCTGCTAATGCTGAATGCTTTGCAAGTCCTGTTTGATTTTTCCCTCCCATTCAGATTATGGATGAGAAAAAAGAATGATTTCCAGCTGATGGATGGCATTTTTTCACACTAGAAAATGCATCCTGAGCTTTGCAAAGTGTCCTTCTCAATTATTTGTTTTTAACACTTCCTGCCTCAGTTCTGCATCAGTTGCTAGCATCTCATGGTCTAATCCAAACTCACCGAAGTGTAAGAGCAACTTTTCTTTGAGTGCAATAAGCTTGATTCATGCTCTTCATATTTTGAGGGCCTTCTCAGAGCTGTTGACTTCAAATGCATCGGTTCTCTCCAAGGCATTCTCTACGTGATAACAGTCGTGCATTTGCCACAAAATTTAAGGAATTGCCAGAGAAATGCCCCTGTTGTCAGCATCTCCTTTTTAGTATTCCCAGCTGTATCTTCTCATTGCTCTGGGAAGAATGGGTGGGATGTAAGGCAGAAATAACAAGTTTCCCTGTCATTCTGTTTTAGTAGCATTTTCTGATCATTATTTTAGGCATGACAGCTCTTCAGGAAATAACCATAGGCTATGGTGACCTTTAGTGCAACTTGCCAGCCACTCTGGTTGAGGGATCCCGCTTTGCATCCTAGTCCTTAATAGGTGTATTTCAGTTTGAGCAATTTTCCCTTGGAGAGGAAGTCCATTCAGACACATATCCTCTGGCATCCTCAGCCAGACACAGAAAACCAGAAAATGCATCATTCTCCAAAATTCCCCTGTCCCTCCTATGGAAGGCCCATACAACCTATGGCCTACAACCTGAATGGTCATTAGTGACAGGCTCTTTCCATGGAGACAAGAGTCAGGCTTTGGAATATCGTCACTAGGCTACAGCAAAGTTATCTGTCCCGTGACCAGAAATTCAGTAATACATGGATTAACACTATTTCATAAGTGATGCTAAATAGCTAGTAATGCAGTTTGCTATCTGCAGGGCAGGATTCAGGTCATTTGGATGAATTTTTATTCAACAAAGTTGAGTTTCTGGAGATGGATTCAGCACAGCAGTATTGTGAAGATTTGATATGTACTGTCCTGGCAGCCCAAGTCAGGGATCGACTGGACACTGATCATCTTAATAGAAGGAAGAGAACTAGTAGAGGAAGGAGGTGAGATGGAAGGAAATGTTAAGGGAGATTTGTGGAGATCTGAGCACTCATATGAGGGCATGCAATGGGCAGGAGACGGCTGCAGCTGAGAGGTGACAGTCCTGATTTCAGCAGCGATTCGTATTTGACATAACCTTGATTTCTTCCTTCCTCAGCAGCAGAAGCAATCAGTCTTGCTTTCCAGAGCTCTGGCTTCAGTAAAAAGGGATAGTCCAGTAACAAGTTTATTCTAAGAGATAGCCGTATTTTACAGTGCCTAAAGTAAGTTCTGGAGTAAGGCACACAGGGTTTCAGATACTGCATTATAAGCGCCTATCTTGGCACCTACTGACGTCTAGAACACTGAGGTAGAGCAGAGTACTTGTCCAGGGCTGTGATGCAGAGTTAAAAAAATAGGGAAAGTCCACAGGACCATTTCAATAAGCAGTAAACACCAAGCAGATTGCCCCCTATTAGGGATTTTGAAGCCTAAATCTATGCAGGAAAAATAATATAGGTTCACCTGGAACTTCTATTTATGAATCCTTTCAGATTACAGAAATCAATGTTAGTCCTGTACTAAAAAGTATCAGCTAAATTTGCAGGTCTTGTATGTAAAATCTCAGTGCTCAGACCACTGATGTGGAAGACTTCAGGTTCAGTTGCCCTCTTCCTCTGACAACTTGAAATTTTTCTTCTTCAAAGTTTTTTTCTGCTCAACAGGATGGAAGGTATTTAAAAGGTGGAATTCTCTAAATCTTTCTTGTTGAAGATGTTCCTCCTTGCAGTGTCAGGGTGCCAGTAACATTACAGCCTGTTCACTTTGGAGTGACACGTTAGGCTCCTTCAAAACCCAAGTATCTTATATTAAATATTAACTGGACTTGGATGTCCTTTCCTTTGGACAGAATTCTTCCTTTGGAAGAATTTTTTTACCACAAGAGTACCAAGTCATCTCTTTTCTCTAGCTTCCTTTCTCACAGCAAGAACATTTAATTATTCCAAGCACAATGGAACAGCTTCCCAAAGAGGGAAAAGCCTACTCTACTGCCTTATTGATAGCACCTTTGAAACCTAAAAATTCAGGTTCAAACCCCGCCGTGTTAGAGGAAAGACTAAATTCTTGTAACTCCATTTGTTAGCAGCAGTGATAACTGTTGGGCAGATAGACCAAAGAGGCTCTCCAGCTGGACAAGTGCATGTCTTCTATGTGTGTTCTGCAAGAGCCCATTAAATTCTCTGTTTATCACATGTCCTCAGTGTGTTGTCAGACTCTTGTGCTGATACCTCACTGATACAAAGAGACTAACATGATATGCAAGGAAAGCTAAATAATTAAGGGTCAACCGTTAATTTTGTTAAGATCAAAGAGATGCCTCTTATCAAGCAGACAGATTTCTGAGGTTAATCCATTTGCAAATGGGCTGCCACTTACATTCTGCAACACAGTGCGATTATAATTACACAATAACGTTAATGAAGTGCCACCAATGGGGAAAGGAAGTCAAATAACTGTTCAACTACCTGTACAAAATCAGCGCGGCATGTTTCACTATTAGCATTTCCAGCCAAATTATTCTCTTAGCTCTGCTTTGGAACTAGTCAGCTGGATGCTGATACTTAGCAATTACAACCCTGCATTGAGGTATATAGAGGTAAATATGTCCCATTCAAAAAAAAAAAAAAAAAAAAAGATTCCTGGGCAAAATTATATCCCTGCTGACTAATTGCCTTTGTCAGTTAAATAGAACCATTTTCCTGCTGCCTTCCTTCTGCAATCACAGCTTGAAAACACAGATGATAAAGTAGTGTGTCCCAACAATGCAAAATGTCTTGAAGTAACAAGATAATGCCTGTAACAAATAGGGGCTGCATTTTAAACAGTTTCTTATTAAACAGGAAGCAGAAATTCCTGTTCACAGAAGGTGTTGTCTCACGATAAAGATCTAGCCCCAACATACAGCAATTCTCTTCCTACTTTCCTTAGTATGATTTAAGAAAACTTTTCTGCCCCACTGAGTCTACCTGCAATAAATGCTCAGATAAAATGACCAAGGAAGGACCGCCTTCCTATTAGAAGGTAACTGTGGGAGCCGATGCAGCATAGCTGTTAAGAGTCATCCTAATCCACTCTTCCTCTTCTAATTACAGGCCAGGGGATATGATCACTCTTCTGGAAGACTCCAATGAAGACTGGTGGAAGGTATGTTCTAATTACTGTGCATCTATCTCTCTCATTTCCAAAGGGAAAAAATACATTATTTTCAATACTGAGCTTGCATTAAAGCTACTGCTGTTAACAGCTTTCTTCTGTCAATACATTTTCTCCACAGGGAAAAATTGATGACAGAACTGGATTTTTTCCTGCTAACTTCGTTCAAAGAGTGCAACATGATGAGAAGATTTACAGATGTATCAGGACATTCATTGGCTGCAAGGAGCAGGGGCAGATAACTCTGAAAGAGAACCAGGTAAATGCAAGGAGACCCACTGGGCTGAATTCCCAGCAGACTTGAGCATCCTACAGTCAAATTGATGTGACCAGAGGGAAGGTGCAAAATGGACACAGACAGATGCTGTTCACTGCAGTTCAGCTGTTTTCAAGATTTACCATTAACATGGTAATGAGGTACTAACCAGCTAACACATTCTTCCTATTTATTGTGGCCTAAGTTTACAGGCTTACAAGTGTTCATAAAGATATTTATATGTCACCTCAGAGGGACAGCTTGGAAAACAGAGTTGTAGGGGTAGGCCTGAGTGCCTAACACATGGTCTGCTCTCCTCCACGCTATTAAGCTAATCTAATAAAACAGAGTAGCTCCCTTCCCAGACCTTACCTTTCCTAAACATAAACACAGCACATTGTTTCAGCTTCAGCAGGAGCAGAGTTAAGACATCACAGAGAAAACTGTAAATCTTAAATTTATCCCTTATTCACTGGTTGTAAAATATCTTTAGTCATTAATAGCTTGTGATGCTACTTGCATATTCTCTCTACAAGTCATAATGTAAGCAGCAAGTGGGAGTTATAGTACATCACATACAGTGAAGATTCACAAAGTCCATTCACCTGGCATATTTTCAGCAGTTCCTTCTGGCTTGGGTTATTCGGGTGGGTTCACAAGGTGGAAACCACAGCCACTGTTATGCCTTTGATCTGATTTTAAGTGCACTTATAAACAGAATTTTTGCCAGTCTTTCCGTATATCTGATAATACTGCTATAAATGTTTGCTGCAGTAAAAGGAGAGAAGAATTTGGCTCAAAAGTTGCATTAACAGTAAGGTTTGTGGCATAGGGTCATGTAGATAGAAGGATGGCTGGCTGACAGCCACCCACAGGCTAAATTCTCCAAACCCTGCACAAAACAGGAAGCTGGCTTTCTATCACTGTATTTTGTGAAGCCCAGTTTTGTTCCACCTTCCTTTCCTTTGGCAGTTTATATAACATCACCAGGAGGTGTTTGCCTTTCAGTGCCTGGAAAGCCATTGATTTTAGCAAAGTGGAGCAGAAATCAGCATTAGAGTGAACTCCAG